GTGAACACTCTAATCTCTGATAAAAGATTTGAGGTAATTAAGGACTCAATAATGATACTTGAACAAAGACCCACATACGTTGATCGCGGGTCGGCCGCCTTATCAACGCGCTCTCTTTCCTTTTCTCTAATAACACAATCAGTTGATTGGTTCATTCCTTCACATCTTTGATCAACTGCAACACACTTCCCAACTATAGCAACTATCAATATGTCATCAGATGCCCACGATCCTCAATTTCAGCATAAACAACTCGACTTTCCATCTGAACAACTTGCCAAACCAGCCGCAGAATTCTCGCCCAATTCACCCATCTCATCCAATATAGCAGATCAAGAAATTAAACTCCTCCAGCTACATGGATTGTCTTCCAGTAGACATTATCACTCCATCTCAAAGATGGAACTGACTGATGCCGATCTCAAGCGAGCACGGAACCGTGTTGCAGCCCGTCGATCTCGCGAACGAAAAAACTCGCGAATCATTGAACTAGAACATATCAATCAAACACTAGTGGATGAGCTTGAGCAAATGCGTAGAGTCTTTGAAACTACCCGAAGGAAAAACAGCAGTACTAGTGGAGGTCACGGAAATGCTGCTAATAGAAAACACGATCAAGGCAACGACAAGACAAACGGCCATGGACGGACGAATGGAAATAGCAAAGTAGTTGGAGATGATCGAGTTGCATGATATCAACTGGTTGATAACGTTTATTTCTCGATTGCTCGTTGTATGAATCTGCATGATGATTGTAGGATGATTGCAAACTGATTAAGCTATACTGAACCATATCCCTTGCACAGTATTGCAAAGAGTTTGGAATGTGCAATAGAATGTAACAGCATATAGTCAAGAATAAAACACTGCATTTGTATATTCAAGACAACAATTTACGAATGGTGCATGAATAGCTTATATTTAATGATTGCATGTCGGATGCTGTGTAGCATGAATGCGTTTACAACAAGCAAGACTTTTCTTATCCCTATAGCAACCTTTGATTGCTCTCACATCACTTGATGCCACAATACATTGGATCGATCGACCAAGGGACTAGTTCCACTCGTTTTATGGTGTTTGATACTGCTGGCCATATTGTTGCTTCTCATCAGACAGAATTTGCTCAAGTGCTGCCACAAGCCGGGTGTGTTGTTGGTCTTGCTATGCACGAGTGTGCTGATATGCAGCCAGTCTGACTATTGTGGATGTTAGATGGGTCGAGCATG